CAAGCATCTGGAGAGATATAAGAGCATGCATGGTCCATTATGTCAATACTTGCATACTTCACCGACACTTTAACCATTACTAGGTTTAGTAAATATACCAGTAAAATAACTATGAAATTACAGGACTTCCCAAGCTGCAAAGGAAAAGAGAAAAATATCCTCTTAGACGTGAGACCCCTAGATCTTCATTGCATGATGAGCGAGCAATTGTTTGGAAAGGGACTTGACACCATACTGACTGAGTTGCAATGTATATATCCTTCTTGAGCAAGTTGCCTGCTAGTTAAAACGTCCAAGAAGTGGATGGGACGAAATAATGCTGCTGGTAAGATCTCCAACCTCCATTAATAAGGCTGGCAGCTAGCCATCCGAGGTCCTAAGTCCTAACACAAAGCTTTCATTTGCCTCCTTTTTTCTCTTCTAGCGGTCCACCTACCAGTCTATCTACCTACATGTGCATGCATGCGGATATTCTTCTCTTCATCCTTTTATTTGGTTTTTGTTTTTGTCATGAAGATATATAGATTTTGAAGGTTAATTCTATCATAGCATGTGTCACTGTAACTATTATTATTTGATAGAAACACAGAACAGAACCATACATACAAGCTTTGATTTATGGTCCTGCATGGGCTAGATATATAGATTGACAGAATATTTATCTTTCAATTATAGACCGCAAATAACAAGAAGGCAATTGGTAGTGATGATGATGATGGGCATTGACAATAACCAGCTGCTTGATAAAAACTACTCGAGGGCTCTTCATATATAGTAGGACTTTGAAGCTTTCATGGGACCTTTAGTTTGACTGAGCTGATCACATTCTGCCCATCTCTCCTCCATATTTCTTTAACACTACTTTAAATGTTGGTGGCGACCACCGGCCGGAAGTAATGAAAGAAAAGGCGATGGCCTTTGTGAGATGTGACATGGAAAGGCATAGGTCACAATAAGTCACAACTAATATAAGAGATCGATAGGGCATGACTTGTTAGGTGCTAGTGGCTCAGTGTGGACCAAGAAGGAGAGGACAAACGGAATATCGTGTCTTGAGATGCGTTCAGACATGAAATCATACATGGGTCCTACCCCTTCTGTACTTTGTCCAATTGTTGGTTTTCAAGACCCTGATTAAGATCTGATTCCTGTGTTTACAAGCATACAACATATATCAAGACAATGCCTGCATTCTCATTCCAAGAACAAGCAAGGAAGTGAGTCTAAAAACATTCATTTTCCATGCATATATCTCCAAATAGAGCAGGTGATAGATAATAGCTATTCATCACAGTTCTCCCAACCTATTCTATAGGAGGAATTAATACTGTACATAGAATACCGGGTCTTGGACCCACCATTTTGATGGGTAGTCCAAATTAGACCCCTCTCTCTCTCTCACACACACACACACAGCATAGGAAGTCATTAATTTGTTGAATGAACTCGATCAGTCGAGAATAAACTTACAGAAATCATTATATTTATCTGCAAGCAGTACTTCATCAAAGATGGGTATTACAAGTGAAATGGAGGAGAGAAAAAGTAAGGAAGCATGATTGCCTTGATTTTTCTTTTTTCTTTAACTATCTTTTGGAATCCTGTGTCCCCATTTGTCTCTCAAACTCAAGAACTGGTCAGATAAGGAAATGTATTCACTGTAACATTCAATGACAGCGACCAAATTTATTTAAAGCTTCTAATAATATCCATGGTGGCCTGGTCAGATCCTCCGGACCTGGAGGTAATGATCTAAGTTTGTAGTCCCAGCTGGTCAATTAGGGTCCATCCACGTACTCAGTGTTTTTCAGAACCATTTATTCTTTCATAAGTCATATCTGCTTTTGTGATTCTCTTTACAAGTTCCTTGTTACCTTTTTAATGAGTTCTTTGAGGCTCTGAGTAAAATATTGCAGGGAAAGCTGCTTCTGCACAGACTAAAAGGGAAAAGCAATTGTTGGAAAAGAAGGCGCCGAACTGATTGCCACAAGCTTTTCTGTCTTGTGCCCATCCCTGCTAAGTGCTAAAGTCACTTTAACTAACTGCAAGGATAAAGTAAGTCCACGCCAAGGCAATGGGGCCTCTATATATTTATTCCTGTTCCAACAACTAACCTCTGCGCATCACATGGTTAGGAACTACTTTAATCTATTAACTTTTTCCTCATTGTATTTGGATTACTGATAATTTTCTTGGTTTTGTGATACTACAGTGAGCTTGAAATCTTAGAAATGACAAATCAAACGTAATAAGAAATACATCAGTTTTAATGGCAGAAGCTTGGTTTGCTAGGCTAGCTCTTGAGTTGGCTATCCAGTTCAAAGAAAAGAAGATCAAGATTGATCATGGGGACCCAAATATAGTAACTGAATACCTCAACAAGAAGCTTGCCTCAACAAATAAGTAACAATAGTTTAATCTCCAATAATTATTGAAAATATATTGATAATGAAAAAATACAATAATTATTAAAAATATATTAAATTACTCAATAAATAGTAAAATCTCAAATAATAGTTTAATCTCTAATAAATATTAATCAATAAGTTATAACAAAAATACAGTAAGTACAATAAACAAAATTTAAAAATTTCAATAAGAGTAGTTTAAACCCAATAATTAGTGAAAGTTTTCTTTTAAATAACAAAACAAAAATAAATTTAGACATAATTATTGAAAATTATCACAAAAAACAATAAATAATTACTAAGATGCAATCAATATTAATATTAGTACATATAATTATATAATAAATATATATTAAGAGTTTAAAATTATTATTAATAAATATTAATTTTTATGAAAGTTATTTTCATGAATTATTAATTGATATAAGTGAAATTAGTTATTCACGATATTATGTAAAATACTAAATTGTTATTAAAGTTATTTCATTATTAATTTTGTAAAATATTAAATTATTATTAATTTCAATATTATGTTATAATTATTTTTCTACTTTTCAGATTTTTTTTAATTTATTACATAACTTCTATATTTTAACTAATTTAAAATATAGTTATATTAAATATTTTTTATTTAAATTATTTAGTTAATTAAATAACTAAGTAATATGTAAAATGTTTAATTTTTAAAATAATAATTATTTATTGAATTTAATAATCCATAAAATTTTAATTTATACTATTATTACATAATTTCATTATTAATTTTGTAAGATATTAAATTATTATTAATTTCAATATCATTTTATAATTATTTTCTACTTTTAAGAAATTTTTTAAATTTATTACATAATTTCGTTATTTTAACTATTTAAAATCTAGTTATGTTAAATATTTAATTATTTGAATATTTAAGTAATATGTAAAATATTTAAATTTTTTGTCATTTATTGAATTTAACAATCCATAAAATTATAACTTATACTATTAATACACAATTTCTTTAATAATTTTGTAAGATATTAAATTATTACTAAGTTCAACATTATGTTATAATTATTTTTCTAATTTTAAGATTTTTTTTAAATTTATTACATATTTTTGTTATTTTAGCTATTTAAAATATAGTTATGTTAAATATTTAAATAATATGTTAAATATTTAATTTTTTATTTGAATTTTATTTATTTAAATCTATTACATATTACTAAATATTTTGTTATATAATTATTTATATATTTATATCATTTTGTTATTTAAGATATTTTTTTATTGAAATATTTAAATAATAAATTATTTTTAATGTTAAATTTTTATTATTTAAATAAAATTTAAATTGATAATCTGGAAAAGCAGAATTTAAATTGTTAGTACATAATTTCGTGATATATTTTGTAAAAATATAAAATTATTTTTTCCATTTTTAATTAATATTTTAAAGTTATTATATAATTTTGTTAGAATATTTAAAAAATTCTTAATTTTTTAATCCAAACTTTCTTTTGAAAGATATAGATAAAAAGTGGGGAAGAGGATAAATAGGAATTAGAGATAATTTAGGAGAGAAMCTCTAATAAATTAGAAATAATTTTGGTGATAAATAAGAATTGAATTAGAGATAATTTAGAAGATAAATAGGAATTAGAGATAATTTAGGAGAAAGTGGGGGAGGTAGTTTAGGAGATGAGATTATTTAGGTTATTGGAAAAGTGCATCTTTTCAAAAATGACATAAAATAAAAAAATAAAAATTCAAAAAAAAGAAAAAATTTCTTGACCGCTTTGTTATATATATAGATAGATAGATAGGATTAGATAGATAGGATTAATCGAACTGTATCCAGTTCTAATCCTATCTCTCTATCTCTCTCTTTATATATATATATATATATATATATATATTAGGACTGGATACAGTTCTAATAGGATACGACACTTATCAACTATTAGAGTTCGACTGAGACTAACACTTCTATTATTATCCGAACTGACTTCTTCATCCAACTCATCCTAGCTTATCCGTATCTGGGTCAGAGCTATTATCAGTAGCAGGACTCATAGCGTATATATTTCAGATTTCTCTTGGTCTCTAGGTACGTTATATATGTATCTTTGGTTTCTGGGTATGTGCTACTCCCAGTACTGTGTGGCCCCTTTTACTAATTATTCCAACAATTGGAATGCCATTTAGATGGGCTTGACTCATGAATCGGAGTGTCCAAGGATGCCGAGGCAGCCGAGCTGAGGTTCATGAATAGTTTGCAAGGTAAGACCAATTGGGCCTACTAGATTTCTGAATTCCTTGTCTACATCACATCTGCCTAACAGTAAGTGAAAAGTAAAGCCAATAGTTATGTCGCCTTGGCCGCTTTCAGACAATCACTAGAAGGTCGAATTTGTTCAATTTATTTATGTTTGAGCATGTGCTAAGAGTTGAGCAACACACAGGTCACACTCATGCGACGTCTAGCCATCGATGGTTTATATCTGCTGTGAATTGCGACGCACAGAGCCATCCAAATTGATTAATTAATGGCTTGATCCATAATTCATTTCTAGTTTTTCTTTCAAATCAATGAAGCAGTTGAAAGATGTATTAGAATACAAGCAACATATGATCAGAGAGCAAAAATTAGGAGAATCCCAAAAGAGCAAAGGGTGGGGGTTACACTATCCTTGAAGGGAATGATTAACACACAAATTACAAAATCAATCCATCTGCATATGATATAATTGTATTGCAAACACTTGTTTTTCTTTGTAGAAGTCTACATATATTAAGCCTTGCGAGGGGGACACTGGTAGCACTTGGTGAAAACCCCAAATGTATCAATTTGGTGAACGAAGTTTATCATGCTTGCCCATCCTCCAAATCCAAATCCTATCACCAAAACCCAAGCTACAATGAAAATATTCATGCAGTATAAGCCTGCCCAACCTCCGATAAATGATGGGGGTCTCTCTACTGCATTCTGCAAAACAAAATAGAGGAAGAGAAATTATCAAACACCCATAAAATTCTAACTCCAGAAATGATGATGGTGGTGGTTTAATTACCAAAAGATTAACAAGGAWGATTGAGAACTAAAATGCTTATTACCTCTCTTGCTGAAGCAGGAGCGAAGGTTATCATGTGTGCCAAGGCAGGGATTATATAAACAGTGAAGCTGACAAGGAGAGCACCGACTGTGGAGTTGATGGGGCCAAAGAAGGGGAATATGATGGCCAGGAACCATATAGGGATCACCACAGGTAGTCTGGATAGAGCTCTCTTGAATAAGCTCTTGGTGTTATGCATCCCTAGGAACTTCTCCCACACAAAGTACAGTGGAGTGCATGCGAATCCGAATGTTATAAACTGCACAAAGGACCCAAAAATGGCACAGAAGATTTAAACAACCTTATTAGAAGCAAGAGCTCAAATTCTACAGATCGACCCATTATTAGTAAACCTGAGAACACATTAATTTGATAGGCCATGGATCAAATTAATTCCAGTATACTTAAAACAAGAAGAAGACCCATCTAGTATTGTGTTTATACGTAATTGCTTAAAGATTAATTGGTTGCTCACCTGATGTATGAGCATGAGAATTACAGCAGTGTCTCTAAATCCAGATCTTGGCAGTAAAGAGAAAGCATTAGAGTGGTTGAGGAGCATGTCCCCAAAGGCCCAATAAACAGAAATTGCTGATGGTAGAGTTAGGGTTAGGACATAGAGTGTTGCCATCAAGTAGATCAGCTTGAACTTTTGTGGCTTCCACATTGCATGCATTATCTCTCTACAGTCATTCCAAAGTTATCAAATTACATGCATAGACTTTCAAACAGGCATGCATGGGTGTACTTATATCTATATATTAATTCATGCATGTATGGAGACATGTTATATTCATGCATGGGTATTTCTTACACTGTCACAGCATGTCCACCAAATGTGTACAGAATGTTGGTAGCTCCAGTGAAATATAGAACCATTTTTGCTGGGCCTGAGTGTTTCACTCCTTCAATCTTGAAATGCCCAAATAAAATACAAGAGAGAACAGATAAATGAATTTATAAAAGAAATGTATACAAGAGTTATTTTACAATAATCTGTTTTCTGTTATTTTACAAACTGAAATGAAATATTACAGAAGGCTTTTACCTGCCCATGGATTAGGGATGCAATGGTTAGGTACCACGCAGTGTAAGTTGTCATCATCAGACCCAAAAACGACCAAATTCTGTAATTATGGAATGAAGGGATGAAAACAGTAGTAGCACAGCAGGCACCAAAGATGTAAGTCCAAGTTCTCTTGTCAAGATTGTCATTAATGTAGTAGATGTTACTGCATCAGCACAGAAAACATTACCATTCGTATTAGTCTGCACCATTTTCTTCTGGAGAAATAATCATATATATATATATATATTCATATGGAATAATTATATATTTAAGTTTGGATCTTTTTTGTGGGTTTATTTCCTTTAATTTCTTTCTGAAATTACCTTGCACAGGCAATTAGCTGAATTACAGAACCAAATAGAAGGAAAGTACAGTTGAAAAACAGCCCTACATTCCTCCAATGTTTCCCCAGAAGCCCATCAAGAACTTCAAACCACTGCAGAGATAATCAAAAAACTCAAATCAAAGCTCTCTCTCTCTATCTTTCAATTTGCCAGTTGAGAGAGATAGTTAAAACCCAAGAATTTTTATTATTATTTCTTTGTTGGGGTGTGTGTATGTGTGTGGGAGCTTCTGTCTGGTTGATCAATAGATAAAAGAAGCACCAATTATGAATTCGTACCTGAATAACATGGTTCCTAAAATCTACTTTTTCTCTTTCTTTTCTAGTCCGGTACTCAACATAAAGTACACTTATTAGATACGCAGTCCAGCTCCCCATCAACCCGTAAAACAGTTGGAAAAGAATCCCAGACAACATCCCCAGTTGTGAAAATGAGTAAGGCAAGGTGAGAAGCACTTGTGCCACCTGAAACCAAATCAAAGAATCAAAAAAAAAAAAAAAATCAAGCTCTTCTGATCACCCCAGAAAACTCAACCAAGTAAACCAGAAAGCAGCAGGAATCACCTGGTTAGAAGCACAGCTGAACCATGCATCGTAGACAGAACCACCATGCCAGAAGAACTTCGATAGTTTGCTCTTAGCAGACTTAGAGCTGCCTTCGGTTTCCATTTCGACATAGTTCCCCGCCACTATGGTCTCCACCTTCTCGGACGCCATTGTTACTGCTGGTCTCAGTAGTGTAGAGGGAAGAATATTGAGGAGGTCTAGCTGCTTTATAACTAGAAAGCGAAGGAGTTTCATGACAGCGAGGTGTTTTGGGCCCTTGCTAGCATGCGACGCACGGGCGGGATGACCCACAAAGCACTACTTTTATCAAAGAATTCCATGCTCTCATTCTTAAAAGAATTGGCATGGGAAAATGATGGAAATAAATAGATCTTTGTTAATTTGTTTAGCTGAAGAGCTTGGGCCCTGGGGATGTATGCATTGTGCTTGTGAGATGGATTGAATGATTGMTTGGCAGTGGGCTTGTTGCTTCACATGATTAGACCACACGTGTGCCAACTGGCCCTCTCTCTCTCTTCCTTTGGGACCATTACTAATACTTTATTTTATATTTTAAGTGGGGTGGTTTAGTAGTAATGGGTAACACCAAGACTTGCTACCAAGAAATAATGATCTGGTCCTGATGGTGGGGCCTGAGGAATGATATTTCTTATGCCAAATTAGGACAATCAAGAATCAACAAAAGTAGAATGCAATCTTCAAATCAAATGGCTATAATCATTTGATCAGTTGATTTCGAGTGTATTGAGGATTATCAAATGGTAGGGCTTGGCAAATGCACAAGGCAGCAGGGATGACAATTCATGGTGAACGGAAGCAATTTTAAGATTTGGGTCACTTCCGTTCCACTGGTAAACTAGGTGGGTTTTCTAAGACAACTATTTATAATTCATGAATAGTTTTTGAATGGTTATAACTTATAAATGGGTAGTTTCTGGACAGTTATGAGTGGGCAGTTTTTAAAATGAGAGTAAACGATATATATATATATATATCCTCCTTATGTGCCCGTTGTGTGCTTAGACAAAAGGAGTAAAAAATGTCTAATAAAAATTCCAGAAAAAAAGAAGAATTCACTCTTCTATATGTAGTATAAATGCACATATAGATATAGATATTATCTAAAACTAACCCACCTTGGCTGACTTAGTAAGATTGAGACCCTTAACAAAAGACTACCCTTTAACCATCTTGGTTTCTCCGGTCCCAAGCTTAGATATAGTGTGGGTTCGGGTTTGGCGTTTCTGGAATCAACTCTTATTGCTGGACTCAAACCTTGCTCAATTGATCCATTTCTCAAACTATTGGCAGCAGAGGTGGCAACCAATGGATTCACCTTTGCGATCATTTTTAGGCTTATAGAGGGATGATAAGATAAGGTGGCCCTCTATCTCAGTACATTTTTGTTGTTTATACTTGATAGGGAGATCTTTTGTAGATTAGTCTGAATGAAATCGGCAAATGTTTAAATTGTAAAGCTTCAAGAAGTGGTTCAAACATGCCCTTATTACAGTTTTGTGGACGATAGAATTCTATTTTCTAAAATTTTGATGAATGCCGCTTTGAAAATAAATGAGATAATGACCAAATTTGCCAAAGCTGTCAGAAACCCAATTTTAATATTCTTCCATAATTTTCTCAAAGAACACGTGAGAAGGCACCAAAAAATTGTGTCAAGGATTTCGAAGATACCTATTAATACTAGATGAGAAGCATATCTTGGGGCCCTATCATAGAGGGAAGAGTCAATAAAAATACTTTTAAGAAGTTTGGAGAGATAATTCTTTTAAAATTAAGTGGATGGAAGAAAAAATGTTTATCTAAGACTGGTAGAGTGGCCTTGCTTAAGGTTAATGTAAGCCCAAAGTTGCTTTTGGGCTTAATTGTTTCTCGTTGATATTCTGTGAATCTCTTCAAGAGTTTGAGCTTGTAGTATTATGCATACTCTTGCATTTTGATATACTTTGCTTTGTATTTGGTTTTAGAGGCATTTGCCAAATTCATGCTTTACATATTTATTATCTAATGTTGTATTTGTGTTTTCAAGAGTAAACACCATTATATATAGGTCTATTTGGCACCTGTAAGCCTTATTGACACTACGTGTTTTGATGATAACAAACTCATTAAGAGTACTAATAAATGTGTTAAGTGTGCAATTGTACCAAATTAATCATATTGAGTTTAAATGGTTGACAATTCACTGAAGAATCAAGCATGGAATAAATGCTTTTCGGTAGTTGTTAATCAACAAGTGATTCTTCAAAGAAAAAGATTGCTACCAAGAACTAGAAAGAAAGAGCAATAAATTTTAGTGTTCTACATTGTATGTCATGTTTTAGGTCTTAATGTAAATCATTTGAATGAAATGACTCTATGGGCTTAAACTTGACCAACCTCGGATAACCTAACCTTAGAGACTGATAACTAGTATTAGATATGGTTTGTAGGTGTTACCAGACTCAAAAAGCACTTAAATCCATGAATCAATATCTTAAAGGCTAGTCTTACCAGATATGGTTGTGAATAGTGTGTAGTTGACTACTCATAAACCTATAGTCAACTACCTGTGATAGCTAAGGCTAGTCTTACTCATTTTCTTTTCTAACTCAACCCGCTCTGATACTAATTGATACAAATCAAATATGAAGAAAGAAAATGAAAAAAGTTACCTCAAGGAAATAGAAAAATAAGTAAATTGGATGAAATTTTGTTAATATAAAATGAATTACAAAGAGGCAACAAGCTTAGGAATTCACTCACCCAAAGAAGATGTGACTCTCTTAATTCTCAAAAAAAAAAAAAGAAAAAGAAAAATCTCTAAGCTTCACAGAACAGAGGAAAGAACTTGATTGCCTCTATTTTGAGATTACAAGGCCTTTTATATATAACAAAAAACTAATTGTTGGAGCATTTAATAAAATTAATTGTTAGAAACCTATTAACCGAAATGGTTGTTGTAAGTAATTTTAAATTAAGTTCCACTTGTCTTTTCTTTTTATAATAATTTGGTGCTTCTCAAGGAATGATCTTGAATTACATCAACACATGGCATATATTTTTTCCTTATTTACAAATTTGCCACACATGTCATATATTTATAGGCATCACGGCATATACCTTGCCATATGTCAGTAATTTTCTTACATGGCATATATTTTTTCCATATTCATAAATCTGCCGTATGGCATATATTTTATCATATTCATAAATTTTCCATCTAGCATATATTTAGGGGCATTATGACCCATAGTTGTGCTATGTATCAAAAATTTTGCCAAGTGACGTAAATACATTTGCACTTGCAGTACTTTATGCATTTTTGTGAAAATCACATTTAGCAAAATGTGCTTTCGAAGCATGAAGTAAAAAAAAATTGATTTTGTGTTTTTTGTTGTTTAAGTGTTTCTGTTTTAGGTATTTTGCTCTCAAAAACACACATTGCCAAACTCTAGAGCTTTTTCTTTTCTTTTTTGCTGTTGAAGCACAAAAGTACTTTGAAAAAGCTTATCCAAACATAAACTTTGTTTATTGTTTATTCTATTTCTATCATTAATAAAAATAACTTTTATTTTGGTTTAATATGATGACCACATAGTATTAGGATCATAGCCAATTTTTTTTTACAAAATTTCTATATTTTTAATTATTTTTTGTGTTTATCTCTTTTAATAATTATATTACTTAATTRTAACATCACGCACTGACTTGTTTAACCTAAAAGATTGATCCATTGACCAACTACTTAAATGGAAAAATAGTTTCATTTATGGGTCAAGTTTAAATCTTGTATTTCATTCCATCATTAATAATAATACTTCTTATTTATCCTACTTATTATTGTTTAATATGATAAATATATAATATTAAAGATGAGTGTAAAATTTTTCACAAATTTTTTGAACCTTTTTGTAATATTTACTTTTTTTATTTTAAGCTTTAATTATTTAACTATGTGACCACCGGTTGACCCATTTGATGTGAATGGTTGAACTACTTATTGACCATCCAAACAAAATCACGATTTATTTTTCATGTAGTTTTTAAACATAGGTTTTACCTTATTAAAGATATATTGGGTATAGATTAAATTAGTAGAATTTATTGGTGAGAAACAATAAGTAGGTTGCTTTAGTCCAATTCATTGTGTTTTAAATAACATTTTTTCTGCCCACATAGTTAGAGAGTGACCAAATTCATAAGTAAGAGTGGTGTCGTAAAAAAAAACCACAAACCTTTTAATGTATCTTAAATATAGAATATAGTAATGAGAGGGAAGGGAGTTAATAGCTTAAATATAAGACTTAATCAAAAGGAATAGAATGAATTTAATAAAAGTAGTAGTTCAATTTACACTTTTTTCCCTAAAGAGGGATCAAATTAAAAAATAAGGGTTTTTTAGTTAAAAAAAGTAAAAAATCTAGACCTCATTCACAATTTTAATAGTAGTATATAATATAATATAAATATAAATAAAGATATCTAAAGTTAATAGAGAAAAAGTGAATTACATGGTAACTAATTCATTGTTGATTAGATGTGGAATGTCTCCCATGTATCATGGGCCTCAAAGCATTGCAAGTCTCTATATTTATACAACCAAGGCTTAAAATATCAATATGATACACCTTGTATTGAATGTATGGTATTGGTATCCTAAGGAATCAATACAAGATACRTTACAACTAGACAATTTAAAGAAGACTGATGGACAAAATAGTCTTTTTAATCCTTTCATTAACGGACACTAACGGTAAGGAAGATTTAGTCAATTGTTAGAAACACTAGGGGTACTTTAAGACAATAGTGAAACAGTAGGGGTATAGTTAGTCAAGTTCCTAAACCTTAGGGGTAGTTTAAGAAATTTGCCCTAAAAATATTAATAATAAAATAATTATTTTCGTACTTAAGATTATAGAAATTATTCATGAAGTTTTAATGTACACTAAAAATAACATATTTATTATTTATAAAAATAAAGATTTTGTTTACAAAATATTCAAGGATTTAATATTAAATTGAATATATCAAATCCACTAATTTACATTTATATCAAAAATGATTTCTTATTTTAGAAATTTTATAAAAATAAAAATTCTAATAATGGAATAATTATTTTAGTAATTAAAAATTATGAATTTGCATATGACATGTATCTTA